GCACCTCCACTCTATTGCCCTTGAGCCCTGCCGTGACTACATGATTCAGTCCAAAGTACTTTCCACTACAATCAAAACACTGTCACTTTAAATACCATCTGAACCTCTGTCACCGTGTTTGCACTCTGCAGGGGTGAGTGGTGCCTTGGCGGCTTCACACAATGCTGGTGGTTCTGCTGAGGGCATTTAAAGGTTTGTAATTCCTCACACATCCCAAGATTAGGGACAGTGGAGGCTGTGCCCCAGTCAGCCCTCAAGGGCAACGTTGCCCAACAGCGCAACTGCAGAATTACAAACAACGCAGTCTTAGAAGCCACCACTCAAAAGCCAATCAATACCTGCTAGGAGGAAATGCCTCTCATCACAGGACACATCAATCACAAGCACAGGTGTGCCTGTCAGAGTAGCAGATACCTTAATTACCAAATATCAACTGAGCCCTCTGTGGTGAATTAATATTTCCCATCCTGCCAGCATGTCAGGGAAACATGTTGTGATTTGAGGAAGAAATCATTTCCGGCCCGAGTGTCGCTGTTCCAATAAGCGTTTATCATGTTGGTTGACTTGTAATTATTCTTAATGACATTGTGCTGATGACAAGCAGGAGCACTACAAGTTATTACTCGACTAAGGCGAAGCTGATGACAACTTAAATAACATCACCCGTTGAATTAGACGATGCTGTTTAACCACAGGTCGTGGAAGAACAACGAGGCACGCAGAAAGATGGAGCCGCAATGTAATTATATTACAATGAACTGCACACTGGCACATTCTTTATTAAATGAAGCAGCCATCATTCAGCTTCCTGTTGCAGGCTGCAGCGGACGCTGGTGACAAGCTCCGCAAATGAGCTGTGCTTTTTATGATTTGATGAGTAATTCTAAGATGTGTGACACTCTGCAGAGGATCAACACCAAAACAGCTTACAGGTACATTTAAGGGTGTTTAGCTGATGCTCTCACGCAGGCGGATTTAGAGTGAATGAGCTGTTCAAGGACACGTCTCAGGACTGGTTACTGTTCAACGCTGCACAGTGTTGCATCAACCAGCCAGGAATGGTTAGGTTCAGGATGTACAGTGACACAGGATGACACTTTTTAAATGTCTGCAGGGGAGACTGAAATGTCCCTTCTGGGATGAATATGTTGTGTCTCGAAATGTCATGAAGCTATGGTCATTTCTGTCTAATTGACTGTGCTGCCATTAATTTACTACTAAAGTAGGCGTGGCGATCTTTGAAGCAGGTGGATAGGACACATTGGGAGACATAATCAATGAAGATCAATACAATTCAACTATATTTACACTTGAAAGGGCAAGTGTCCACACACATTAGGCTGCACAGTGAGCAGTCGGAGTCACTAACATTCAGCTCAGTGTTTTTATTCTGCATGTCTACAAAGCTCTAAAAACTGCCAAAGCCCAAAGTCCCCATAGAACACTGCTGCTTACCTGTCTGAAAGGCCTCATTTCAAGTCCAGGCTTT